TTTTGGTAGAGACGGGGTCTCGCTCTTGCTCAGGCTGATCTCCAACTCCTGAGCTCAAACGATCCACCCACCTCGGCCTCTCAGGGTGCTAGGATTACAGGCGTGAGCCACCGCGCCCGGCCAAGGAATCTTAATATATCTTCCACATCTAGTTATATATAAGAATGGACCTCAGGATTTGGGGCTATTCCTTTGGGACATCAAATTAAGTTTCCAGACCAACAGTATGTAGCTATTCTCTTATTTCATATGATGTGTGTGTGTGTGTGTGTGTGTGTGTGTGTGTGTGTGTGTGTCTTTGGTGGGGGAGACAGTAAAAGGTAAAGCAGGGCAAAGACTGATGAAGGGCATTTTAAGGAAATTTAAAACATGAAATTAGTATCTAGCTTCCTTTATCCCAGTTCAAATTGTTAATTCCAGGAAAGTGATTTATTCTTATACACTTACTCATGTCTTAAAGACCATGGGATGATTAATAAGGATCCAAGAAGGGCCCAATTAGTGATTTTTTAAATTCATTCATTCATTCTTAAATGACTGCTAAAATTCCACTCATGCTTCTAGGTGCAGCTCAAGTGACAGCACCTGTGGGATGTCCTTTACCCTTCTCAACTGTTTGTACTTCTCTCTTGTAGTCTCCTGCTTTGGTCAGCATTTTGTAGTTGTAACCTTTATTACACTCTTGCATTGTGGTTTCTTATTTGCTTAACTTTATAACTTAGGACACTATGAGTATGTTAAAGACCTCAATCTTACTGTACTTGGCATAGTGCCTGGCACATAATAGGTTTCTAACTAAAGTTAATCTAATTGAGAAGCATTATTTGTTCATTTCTTTGGTGTGTGCATGTGATCCTTTGATTCTAAAACTATTATGGTTGAAAGGGAATCATTTGTAATTTCCTCAAATACAGATCGACATAATGTGATTTCCAAAGTTTCAGTGTCTGTATCTGTAAATCCCATATGTGATTTTTCTAAGTCTCAGTGTCTGTATCTGTAAAACGGGGAACTGCTTATCTCATAGGTAGTTGAGAACATCACTTATTAGCTATGTGAACATGGGTGAATTATCTAAACTTTTTGAGAGCGTTTTCTTATCTTTAAAATTAATTAATTAATTAATTTAGAGATAGGGTTTTGCTATATTACCCAGGCTGGATTCAAACTCCTGGCCTCAAGTGATCCTCCCTTATCAGTCTCCCCAGAGTAGCTGGGATTACAGGTCCATGCCACCATGTCCAGTTTAAAATTTAGTTATTATGAAGATCAAATGTGATAATCCATGTTAACAGCTGTTAAATAAAATTTATAGAAGGCCATTGGTTTGGACTGAGCTCCTGCACTAGGCTCAACAAACCAAAGCAAAATGGAGTTACTCATGGTTACGTTCCACCCAACCAAGCTGAAACTAAGTTGTTTATCCAAACTTCAGAGAAATTGGGAGAGATATAATAGCAAAATCCCCAAACAGGCCAGTTTTAGCCAAGATGATAAGATGTCCCCTCTGCTTCAACCTTTACAAGAAAAGTAACTTTGAAATGACCACTTTCTTTTTCTTTCATAAGCTCTTTTCTGTCTTTAAAACCAAACTCCTGGCTGGGCGCGGTGGCTCACGCCTGTAATCCTAGCACTCTGGGAGGCCAAGGCGGGCGGATTGTTTGAGCTCAGACCAGCCTGAGCAAGAGCGAGACCCTGTCTCTACTAAAAATAGAAAGAAATTAATCAGACAACTAAAAATATATAGAAAAAATTAGCC